TGGGGGAGAAGAAGGAGGGGAAGAACAGGATTACTGTCCCTGACACACCTGATCACTGTGTGCCTTCAGCCCACACCAGGAGAGATACATAATGATTGTGACAGCCTTGCCTCTGATGGAAACTGGTGATGTACTGAGCATATGGTTTCCTAACAGCACAGGGAGCTGGAATGCTCTGTGAAAGGCAGATTTAATCTCTCAGCTGTCTCTCAATGTCCATCAAACAACCAAAGATCTTGGCTTCTTCCTCCACACGAGAAATAATGGGACAGTCAAATAACATGTCCAGATGGCTCAAAGCAAATATATCAAGACAACAGGTTTATTTTAAACACTACTATCTCTGCTGCTGATCTTACTGCCAACACATTCACACTGCACTGTAACATGCAGTCATTGTTTTATGGGTCCCATAAGTATGCTAAAGGTCCCACAGAAAATAAACCCTGACCTAAGGAGAATAAATTCCTAGAATGGCCAAAGAAAATAGAACTTCTAGAAGAGAGAGGTCTGACACTGTAAATCTGTGCCTCACTGACAGAAAAGGCACTGCCAGAATATTTACAAGACGTGAGTATAAACCCGTTGACCCTTATACGGATATGGGTTACTCATCCCTGTTAAAGTGCAGTGCTGGGCCAAAAGACAGCAATGAGAGAGAGCACTACAATAGCACCAAACCGCTTTGGATCCAAACAAAATACTTCAGTGTGCTGAACATGAAGGGCTACAACAGGTGCTACTCGAGGACAAATATTTTGCCAGCCAAAACCTACAATAGAGAATGAGCAAACATGGTAGGATTTGTGTCAGTGAGCATGCCTGCTTCTGCCTTCCAGTATCACTAGGGAAGGACAGTGCATGTCCCCAGTGCTGTGACCATCAATAATCTTGACATATGCCCTTGCAGCTTCATTTCAGCTGAAGCAGGACACGCTGTTAAAGGTACAATAAAGACTTCAAAAAACAGTACAAAGAATAACTAGTTAACCTCTGATCCATGGGGAGCAAGACAACGGAGGGAATGGAAGAAATGTTCTCCTCCAGCATCCACACAGGACTGCATGTGGGGCCAAGGAGACAACACATTAATACAGACGAGAATAAATGAACATCACATCAATCAGTGCCCTGAACCTTCCAGTGGTTTTCACATTCCCAAAGCCAGATCAGTATTCTAATGACAGTGAGATCATTTCTCCATAGACTCAGCAGGACAGGCTGCCTCTTTGGCAACAGGGCTGGCAAAACGCAGGGGAAAGCACAGGCTGGCTTAAAATAAAACAATTTGTTCAAGAGGAGGAAAGCACATTATCGTGTACTTGGGGAGGTGTGGCTCAGCCAGACCAGAGAACAATTACAGAGCACACAGCAATGCCAAATTAGCTTTAAAGCCTCACCATAAACAAGGCAGAGAGTGGACAAAAGAAACAGGTTTCTTCATAAACCTGGGGGAAAAAATAACAAACGGAATCTTCTGAACACACTGTGAGCTACATGGCAGAGTATTGTACAAGGAAATAGTAAAGCCAGGAATTCCATAGATGAAAAGGAACAGTATCCAAGTGGATTTGAACTTTAAAAGTGCCAGAGTCTTACTTCATTTTTGCACTTTTAGGGAAAGACTATAACATTAAAGTCACCATATGACCACAGGAAACTTCTGTCAATAAAAAACTTCATGTGGAACTCAGTATTCTGAGCAAGCCAATGTATTAAGAATACCCAGATCATTCCAAGGATGAAATTACTTTTGTCATTTTCCACGTAGTATTAAAATTAGACAGAAAAACATCCAACAAACACATTCTAATCAGCAAGACTTTCCTATCAAGAGGAAAGGCCTACTATTTACTTCCTGTGGGTTGTTTTGCAAGAAGCTTTTATGTTCAATTCCTGCTCTTGTTAAATACATTGTAAAAGTCAAATAGATCCACACATTTACTGGTTTTGAGCAGTGCAACAGCAACACCAAATCTGAGGGCTGAGGGACAATTCTTCTAGGCAAGATAGATGCAAGAAAGTTGCACGACTCTTATAAAAAAATATTTCTTTTGCGAATAGATTCATGAACCACGTGATGAAAATCACCTCAGTTTAATTTCCAACCTGAACAGACTGTACAGTAATAAAAACAACTGATGTTCCAGTGGGAACTTTGTATTTTCACCGTCATAATTTCCTAAAAACACAAGATCTGACAAGCAGCACCTAGAAGGCTGGGAATAAAGTGCTTCTAAATAACGGGAGTTTTAAAGAAGTGACAGAATTTACAAAGCATTTCACTGCTGAAGAAAGCTAATGCACAGACATGGAAACACCTCCATGGCTACAGCCAAAGGGATGTTTTGGGCCATTTCTCATCCCTTTTTTCAGCAGATAACTTGTAGGAACATGTGGAATCACCCCTGTTCCTCTCAAAGGTCCTGACCATGGCTCATTGGAACAGCAGCCTAGGTGTGCAAAGCCTTATTTTGTCAGCAGCTGGCAAAACCCCCAGGGAAACTCCTGGATTGTGGATGACATAATTTATCCTGAAGGACTGAGTCAGACTGGAGTTTGCAAATTTTCACTCTCCTCACCAACAACTGTCCTTAAAGAATGAAAAACTTTTAAATTACTAGAGTAGGGGAGGATGAATAGCCTTGGGGTCTACGTGACGGGGAAGACAGGAGGGAGAACAGCTGGTCGATACGAGCACCGCTGCTGAGTGCGAGAGGACCGAGGGGCTGGCAGTGCCGAGAGCCCGGGGACGGGACAGATGCTGCTGCCCAGCGGGCTGGCGCTGCTGGGAGATGGGGCCAGGGACAGGACCGGAGGGACTGGCAGTGAGATACCTCCCGCCGCCTTTGCTGCGGAGCCGGGGCGCTCCCCCGACGGCCACTTAGAACAAGAGCAAAGATGCGCGACAGGCGCGGGCGGCACGGGAGGGCTCTGCCAGCCGCCCCGGGACCCCGTTTCCTGCGTTACCAATCCCCACCCGGTACTCACGGCGGGGCCGTCGGCCGTGGTGTAGCGGACGATGATCTGGAAGGGCTGGTGCGGCTGGAGGGCGGCGGGCAGGGAGACGGTGAGGGATGAGCCGTAGTCGGTGAAGGGGTCCACCCTGAAGCCGAGCGGGCAGGCGGAGCAGGGCGGCTGGGCGAAGAGGGGCAGCGGCGGCGGCGGCTCGGCGGCGGCGGGCGGGGGGCCGGCGGGCGGGTCCCCCGGGGGGGCGGCGGGGGGCAGCGGTCCGGCGGCGATGCAGGGCGCCGAGAGGAAGGTGGCGGTGGCGGGCGGGCTGGCGGCGCAGGGCGGCGCGCAGGGCGGCGGCGGCGGCGGGCAGGGCGGCGGGGGCGGCGGGGCCGGGG